CATACCTTCTCTCTGTGGCCTATCTCTCAGATTTCCGTACAGGCATTTATTGTGTTGAGGTTCAAATTCCTTTACAGCTGTGGTCTGAACAACAAAGGGGCTCTTAAGGGAATAAGACTACAACTTGCTCTTCTGGGTTACATTAAAATCCATTTATTTCCATCAGTTACTTGAACAAAACAGAGTCTCTTTTTGATAAAAAGAAAATTGCTCATTTTGGAGAATATACGCTGAATATATTTGATATTTGTGGTCTGCAAATTGGACAGTTCTGTTCTTCTTAGTTACTTAAATAATACAAGTAAGGGCAAGTCACTATGCTGAAAAGACCTATTTTCAGTCTAAGCCCAAACCCCCTTCATTACATCATTAGAAGTACTACAGAAAGCACCCAACCTGCAAGTCCACTTGCTCCCTCATTCAACAAAGCCCCTGGAATCAGAAGTACCCTGTGCCATGTGCTTTGAGCTCAGTACGTGACCAAGGACTTTTCTCAACGGATGTCAACAGCTAGATCTTTTTACTTTCCAAGTTAGTTTCATTTTCCCTTTGTTCTTGCTTCAGAAAGAGGAGAGATAATGACCATGTAGAGAACTGATCAGTCAAACTTTCAGGTGCTTTTTTTCCTATGACTTTGGCAATAGTTAGACCCCAGGTTTAATACTGCAGTCAGACATACTGAAGACAATGGCACTTTTACAGCACATATGAACATGTGGGGCTGAACAGAAGGGCCCATATATATAATAAAACTTCCAGGTTTCTTTCCTTCTCTGCAACACCTGTGACCCCAGTTGAAGCAGCTGGTTACAGTGGCACATGAAGCTTTGAACCATAGGAGCAGAGCAGCTGGGATACCCTAGTGGAGATGACCTCGTCTACTAATATGCACTATGCTTTGATTAGGAGATTTTTTTTGCTGCTGCAGTTGCAAAATACCTGTCACCGATGTTTGACCCTATTTACATGAAAACAGGAGCATTAAAAGATAGGATTAACAGCATAACTTCTCCAAGGCTGCATTCAGAGGTGACCTCACCTACACATCTCCTATTGCTTGTTCCTTTACGCTCAGGGTAGGAACATCAAACACGCCTCTGTGATGTTAACCTTGGGATGATGGTCTCTTCAGGACTATACATCCACTCAAGTTTCAGATTATAAATCTTTTCAGTGTTCAGTCTAACAATACCCTAGTCTTCACAGGCTACTGAAGTGTATATCGGAGCAGAATGACCAATTTTTACAGAAAATAAAAGGCGAAGAATAAATTGTTGTTAGGATTTGAAATAAATCCAATAAGAAAAATGAACCAAGAGGTGCCTACCTTATACACTGTCACCACAAACTGCCACCTGGGAGCCTGCAGAATGGTTTGTCATTTGTCAGTCTGCTCACAGTATACAAATGTCTTTGATGTGCCCTGGAGATAATTTAGCTAATATTACTCCTGTGGGCAGAGAAGCAAAGAATCAACTTAAAATTAGGGAAAATATTTGTCACTTTCCTTTAAAATAAGGCAATGGTTGCTACAGAAAGACAGCAAACTAGTTTTATCCCACACGAGCTAAATCACAGACTAAAATAATTTAATTTTGAAATTGTGGCACAAGTTTGTAAATTATGGTAACCTCTTTGTAACAGAATTACATGGGAGCCATGCATACCTGTTTTGGGGCAGCTACAGGCAGGCAGAAAGTATGGATGAGCTTTTTAAAGCCAAATAGGGGACACAGTCATTCTGAAATTTATGACAACTGGGTGGCTAGACTTTCTAACCAACCTTAAAAAAAATCCTCCCCCGCCCCCCCCCCTTTTTGCATTCTATTACTAAGTCAGTAGAATATTATTAAGACTGGAAAGTTGGGCACTGAAGAGTGAGGTAATGTCAGCATTTGGGCCGTCTGTTCAACCTTAATTTGGCCCCTTTTGAGTATGAATAATGACATTGCCTTTAATTAGATGATCCCACAATATTTTTTCCTGTGCCTCATTCATGACGGATGGTGCTTACTGAACGATGAAACTGTATTTTGTCTTTTCCTTGTGGTTCAAGGTGTGGCAGCCTGCCTTATTTACTGCATGCTATGCTCTTCTCTGACAACAAAACTAATGATTCGTTTGCACAGTTTTCTACATGGTTTATCATTACAGCTATGGCATAAGAAACATTACTAATTTAATTTTATTGCAGTTCTCAAGGGAAAAGCTAGAGTTTTTTTCACTTAGTTTATCCATCTAAAACCTATTCTCATTGCTCAGGTTTTCATCAAAGCTTTGCTTCCCTCATATTTGGTCTAGGCAGCTTTATCTGCATCAGCTTTGCAGAGGTATTAACAGTACATGGGAAGCAAAGCTGGGGTCCCCATTTTGGTGTGTGTGTTGGGTAGTCAGGCATGGAGAGAGTCAACAGATCAGGGATGGTAGGGAAAATCCTATTCAGTGACAAGACAGATCATTCCTGAAGTTGATAAACACTCTAGAGAATTACCTGTGCAATACAGGGAAATGCAGGTTTGTGGGGTTTTTTTTCCCTAAAATTTGGACAAAGATGAACATATATTCCCCATAAGTTCAGAAACACTACTAACATAAATGCTGTCCTTCTTCCAAAGACTCAGTTCCACAGCAAAAGTAGAGAAAAGTCTTCCAGACTTTTTTTTTCATAGACTTGCACTTGGAAATAGATGACTTGTTCTGACAAAAAGTTTTCCACCAAAAAAATAGCTCCCCCAGGAGAAATTTTCCCTTTCAGGGACAATTTCAGCCAAGATGGTTGAAATTTGTTAAGTTTACAAGTGACTTTTACTTTGGTCATCATTCATCCATCATCTTTCTTAAGAATGATGGATTGTGTAATCCTAAAGGGAACGAACACAGTCTAGAAGAGTGCTCTCTGGGTACACAGGCCCTCAAGTTATTTATATCATGGTTCATACATCGGAGGCTGGATTTAATGTTTTAAAATGTTTTTGACTTTAAGCTTAAAGCTCACAGGAGGTAGAGAACTTCTTGAGATTTTAGAAGACAAACTGAATTTGAACCTTCTTGGAATACTATACATTTCCTTAAACCAAATGAAACCCACCACATTTTGTGTTGCATATATTGCCTTTGGCTAACATCAGGGGCTTAACTGAGCTTGGTAGTCTATTTTTTGAGGTGCTGAGTACTCACAAATTCACAGATACAAGGGATAACAACTTTAAGTGTCCCTATGCTGTACCTCTGAAAGGGTACCTTCACTTGGACACCCACCTATGGATTCATCTAGGCAATTCTGATCTCTGACACTTCTGTTCTCTTTATATTCTTATGACATTTCCAATATTGCATAAAATGACATGGTACTAGAAAAAAAATCTATCTTGAAAAGGTGCAAAACTTGCCGAGAAAGAGGAATCTTTCCATAAACGCCAGTTTTTGAGGGCTCAGACATTCAGTATTCAGTGGTAAAATATATACAGCAGACATGATCAGAGTGTGCTCTAGAAGAATGCGTACAGCTGTGTGGCATTTTGGCACTTCTGATTTTTATTTAACACATTCTTTCCACTAGAATGAATTCTTGAATTCTGTGAAGGAAACAATTTCCCTGAAATGAAATTTGAAAAATAAAAATGTCCCAGATTAACAGCAGAACATACGTTATGCAAATTCTTCATATGACAAAAAAGTCAACAGGGTTTGTGCCTTGGGCTTCCCACCCTAAACTACAGTTACTGCTGCTGAAAAGTACAGCCAGATCCCCTAGCACATTCATTGTCCACCACTACTTTCATGTGCTACCACAGCTTTCAGAGGCAGTGACTTTAAACAGTTCCTAGCTCACTAAACATGACTGAATCCATGCCTTCTTTCCTTCCTGAGTTTTAAAAGCCTGTTGCAAATAATAGACATCTTACCACCGCCTCCAACCAATTATCTGTGGACCAAGCAATCATGCTGCAGCATTACTGTTCATATGTAATGCACAGCTCAGGAATAGCAGAACATAATATCCCTGATGCAAGACCACATGGCTACAGCAAATTTGCTCCCAAATTCTGCTGGTTTTATGTGTCCCGTTGTCTCCCTCTGTAGGACCATCAGAGAAGCTCCTTTTTTATCTGGCCCCTTATTTCCATGAACTTTCTAGTAACTTGCTTAGCTTTGAAATCTTTGCAACTTTGATCAACAAGTTAAAAATTACTGAGAGAACAGACAGACAGACAAAGACAATATCATCACAATAATATCAAAAAGTCTTACTTTTGAAGGAAACAAACAAAAAAGCATACTGTTGAACTTACGCTGTTTCCTATGGTAGTTTGTAAATAAATACATTTTAAAAATACTATGGAGGCAGGTAATGAGTTGCATGAGATCTGTCTTCCCCAGAGCTACTGCAGAGCAGAAACATCACTGAATCAGATTAAAACTCTGCAGAAATCCTGTTACTAAATATAATACATTAACATTATCCATATTTGAAGTGCTCTACATGTGTTAAAATAAATATATCTAAATACACTAATGAACAAATATGCAATATGAATACTGATATTTGAATCTTAAAGCTACTTTTTTAACAAATAACATCTTGCTGAAAATTATTCTCTCACTTTATTTTAGTTCTATTTCAATTTTTTTGTGCCTTCTAGAGTTCCTTCTTGATTGTCTAATAATTAAGCAGAATCATGTAAAATTTAAACAATCACTAGTATTTTGCAACTGAATTCCTAATTCAAACAGGCATATGTTTTTCTTTAAACATTTGCTTACCTGCCTTCCTGAAGTAAGGCTTAAATGCTCTCTCTGGTACAACACTAGCAGCTCAGCCCATCTATTGAGAACTTACAACTTGAAAATGCAGAATCACATGCTGTACTATGATAATAAGAAAAATCCTTATGTAGAATTTAGATAATCTACAGCTGACACTGGAAAACCTGAAAATATATCATTCAAATGCCATCAATCCATCTAGAATTTCAAGAATCAGCATGAAGAAACAGAAATGCAAGGATAATTTGTTCTTTATTTAGGCCTATTTAAGAAGATATTCTAACACCGCAAATAAGATTTTGCTAGACTGATAAAATTATTAACATCACAAATTTAAGGCAGCTGTTACATAGTGTTACATTGATATTTCAGTCAAACTGAACTGTTCTTTAGATACATTCATGCAATTAGCTTGTATGCTGTACTTTGAAATATATAGAATTGTTTTGTTTCCCTGCATTAGACCTATCTGGTTAAGCTTTTCTCAAACAATACAGAGAATGTACTCCTTCTTCTTGGCAGAAGTGATCTAATGACTTAATGATTTAATGACTTATTTGATTCAAGAAATGCACATTGAGAATGCCATGGAGATAAATATACATCTTATATGTGTATGTCACATGCAAGCATGGAGAAATAGGAATGAACGTTGAAATGATATTATTATTTTTAGCTAAAATCATTTTCCCTCCATATAAAATCCAAAAATATCCTTGCACTGAACAGAGGGCCCATTAAACTTCCTCCTTTCCAAAGATTCCTCTCCATGGCGACCTCTGTTGGGGATGAGAAATCTTCCATGGAGCCATAAACAATCTTCTATGTTGCCTCTTGTTGTTCACTCCAATTTCGGCTTTTCTTTTCCTTCTTCGATACCTGAAAACATACGGAGAACAGCTTTTAAAAATCTCTCAATGAATGAAGGGCTTACTTTGAGAGGTTCTTTTAATGCATTAGTCTTTCTTTTCCCTTTCTTGACGTTGTTTCTCCTGTATTTGCTCATATGCTCTTGCATGTGTTACTTCACCTGCTGTGAACAAAAAGAGCATCTGCACACCTGATGGCAGTGGTTGTCCAGTAATAAACTGCACAGTCCTTCCTCCCTTCCTCCCTCCCTGCCTCCCATTCTCAAATCAATCAGCCTAACCCCCTGCCGCAGGCTCAGCTTTTGACGGCTGCAGGGGTCTGGGAACAGTTAATTCCCTCACCTCCTCCGCTTACCTACAAGCAAATTAAAGTAGATGCTACTAAAGCTGAAGCTAAGCAGCAAACTTAGTTTGAAGGAAAGTTTTAATAGCTGTGTTTCAGAATTCGGTAATTTTAAGCCCCCCTCCATTTCAACATTGTTTTTTTAAATATTTGCAAGTTTATCTCCTTTTTTTGAGAGTTCAAGAGAACAATTACTGCTGAGAGGGTGCCTCTCTCTTCTCGTAATGGCTGTGACTTTCAGTAATATCAGGAGAGCTGAGCTGAGTCTAGGGCTCCTTAAAGAACTTAGCCTAGCTGCAGGACTTGTCTCTTTGCTATGCTGAGCAAAGTCCGGGCTGGGCAGAAGATTGTGTTTTTTCTGGCAATGAAAGCATTCAGCTATTTCATATGCCTGTTCCTGGACAATGAATTACTATTGGTATCTGACAAAAGTATTGTTCTTCTGACTAAGCCCTCTCTGCCAGACATCTCAAATACAAATATTTCTTTTGGAGGTTTTCAGGCCTGCTGCATGCTGGAAAAGAAAGACTTCTAAGGACTGAAAGCAAAAGAGAAGCAACGTTTGAGAATGCTGAGAGGAAAATCCAGTCACAAGTAAGATCACCTGCTAGTGCAAAATATGCACAGGTGGTAAGTACAAAAAAAAAATCACTTTAAAAACATAGATAATTAATTCCAATACAGGAAACAATAAGACCCATCTGCAGTTAGAAAGCACAACAGCAGAGCCGCCTTGCTGAAAGAAACAGCACAGAAACAAATGGGTCTGCATGTTTCCAGCAGCCCAAATATAATGGCCCTGGGTGTTGCTGGCAAACTAATGTAATGGGAGAGCCACAGTTGAAGGTTTAACAACCAAAACAAGAGGCAGGGCCAAAAGATTACCGTGGCTTTACAAGGCTGCTCCAGAGCCAATCTTGAGTCTTCTGCTTTCTGCTGGAAGGAACTTTCCCAACAGTTTTAAAAGCTGTTTTATTTGCTTTTTTGAAAACGCCTCTTTCCTTTCTTCTGAAGCACTCTACTGCAGATGCATCAAATACTTTGGCAGGAACGCAGATACCCTCAAAACTGTGGACAGACACTGGCTTGTACAAAGGGCAAATTTTTCCTTCCCTACCATGTTTGTGGTTTAACTTGGAAAAACTAACTGCAAATCATTTTGTCAGTAGTGAGGTTTTATTTAATGCATCTCCAGAGGAAAATAAAAAAAAAATCCAAACCCAAACCAACCCCTTCTCACCCCAGAAATCTTCTCATAGCAGACTGTTTTGATTTGCAGGCTTACTGCTCAAAAGCCTCTTTTAAATGTACAGTTTTCAAATAATATTTTCCCAAGTGTCACACAGTGACAGACTGGCATCATTTTACATCTGCTGTTAGTGGTGTGCCTGCCACACACTTCAGGTTAGGTTCGTGCAAAGTGTTTCAAGCACAGCAAAAGAGCAGGTGACTCATGACATTTTCCATTTTGCAAGTGTTTGAGCCTCAAAGGACTCTGGATCAATACTCTTTATCCCAAGGATGGAATGAGGGAGAGGACAATAAGGCCATGGTGAACCTTGAAAAAATCTGGAGGAACGACCCAATTGATGTTAGCTCCTCTAGGGTGGTGGGCCACAAGAACGAGGGATTTTGCATACTTTGGAATAGTGCAGCAGATTTTCCAACATCTACTTATTCATGGACTTGCTAAAAACATGTGATTCTTTACCACATTATTATTCTTCATACAGGACTTAGGTCAAGTGAAATAATTCCTTGCAGCTGCCTTTTTTAGAAATATCTTTCCCAAATTAACTCACAGAAGTTAGATAAATGTGAATGTGACATCAAACTGTGGACTGAATACCAGTCTTGAAGACTGTAACCATTAGGATAGCTGGTTCTAAGGCAAATAGAAAAAGACACTTTACACCTGGGCACTAATATGAACAAATGGCAAGTAAAACTGCTTTGAGCTTCTGCCATTACATTCTACCTCGTACTGAAGGAGTTGCTAAATGAGATTTGTATGTGCAATCAACTCCCATGTGAATTTATTTCACTCTAGTTGTGATTTGTCAGAGCAGTGATTATGAATGCTGTTTGCTTATTTCAGGCAATTTGATAAATGAGAAACATATTTCCTAGATTAAAGGAACCTACTTTTAATCTTGTGTTTGTCTTATTTTCCCTTTTCCTTTCCTCTGCAATGGGTGGCCTAGGCAGGATGATGGAGAGTCTGCACAGTTAAGTTTACCCTGTACTAAGGTGATCTTTCATTCCTATTATTTTACTGACAAGAACATGTTCATTTTCTCTGAGTAAATTTATAAGTAGAAAACACCTTCTACCTGAAAATACCAAAAAAGTATATTTTTATTTCTAAGTCTAAGCTTGCCATTAACAGCATTCACACAGAATGATACTTTATTCTAGTTGCATTTAATGGGTTCATCGGCTAGTAAGTGGGTTGTAAGCCTCCCAGGTAATTGCCAAGAGCTCTTAAATTAGTTGTAAGTTATAAAAAAGAATACATATTCATAGCTCATCAGGCTTTTCAGCAGCCATTTTCTTAATCCGGCTGCTTTTAAGGGCAAGCCACTAAGATGTTTCAGTGGAACTTCTGTCATTCTCCTTTGTTTTAGCCAGCTTAAAACCTTCTAGACTTTCAGAGAAACATCCTCAAGTCCTGACCATGTACTTTATGAGACAATATTCCTAAAACAATACTCACATTTTTGTGTATCCCAGATGTAGTTGTTCAGGACCTCTCCCACCAAGTAGAATATATTAATAATTACGGTTACAGCTGTAAAAAAGATTATTTTGACACCTGGGCTGAGATGCTCAAGAAGCGGGTACACCCACACTCCTGTAACATGGTGAATCCAGCACACCCTGAAACAAAACAAAAGTAACAAGCACAGACTCTTACAGCCCTGTTTTTTCAAACGTAGCTTGCCCTATAAGCTTAGCTACTGTAACCCAAATAGCAATTATTTGAAAGGCCTGCAAGTTGCAACTGAACTGGAGCATCTGGATGACATCCACCCAGAACAGACATCACAGATGATGAAACTATGACTGATTTCCCACATCCTTACTGCTTTGCTTTAAATTTATTATGAGCAGTTGGCCAGTTTTTGTTTCTGATGTAGGCAGGTATTTCCTTGCTGCATTTATATTTGCGAGGAAACCCCTGTTTTGAGCCAAAGCCGGAAACTGCAGCAGCCTCTGTTCCAGGCAGGTTCTTTATCCTAAGAACATTCAGGGTTCTACAAGCTCTCCTACACAGATCAACACTCCCTACTTTCGGCAGCAGCCTATTTTCATTTCACACACATTTATGTGTTTCTGATGCTTCTCCTCACTACACATGGCAAATGCATCAGTTTTTGGGGTTGCCAGAAATATGTGGTTCAGTTTCTCTTTGAGAGAATAATTTCTTTAGCAAATGTCTTTTGGATTGTTCCTCTTTCAGTTACCTGGTACCATTTGGAATCTAATAATTTTTCTCTAGGTAGGATAAACATTTTTTTTAAAAAACCAAACCAAAACCCACCTCAAAAGTGGTGCCCAGCTCCAGAATCAATTACTCCACAGTAAAGAAAAAGTATTGATGGGGGTTTGCAGGTGACACAGATTTTTAGCATTCAGCTACAGAGAAGATTGTTGGTACACTAATCCAATAGACACTGTCAGCTTTACTGCAGTGCAGCCTGAAGCAGCACTTCAGGTATGTGGTTTTGCTGTGTGTGACTGTAGTGAACACCTGTACCGTCTGATGTAGTAGCTTTTGTGTTGAGATCTGACATGGTGAGTGATGAAGTCAGAGGGAGCAGAGTGAGTCCATATGTTCCAGTAGGTGGAAGTTAAGAAAAGCAAATACTGGCAAACAACTGAGCAAACATCACAGAAGCTAACTGGGTAAAGTGCTCAGTGGAGACAGGCTGGGGCTCTGCTGGGCTCTCTTCAAGAATGTAAATCTCTTCCTTTCTGACCTGGAAATTTGAGAGAGAAGCTCGCAGTGAAGCACAGCTGGAGCACCTGCAATCCCCATTACAGAAGGGGATTTCCATGTCCATATGATTTGCTTCACTTGCTGGTATTTCTATTTGTTTAAGAAAGATTTTTGATCACTAGATCAGCAGTAGGCTCCTAAAGGGCAGAGATACAGAAGTCCACTCAAAACTGAAATAAAATTCTGTCACAGAGAGAGTACAGAATCCCTGTTAAAGGATTCTCCATCACCCTTGAAATGTACATGCTTGTCATACCTTCCCTCCTCCTTGGAAAAGCTTTTATTACAGCCAAATCCTTAACAGCTAGACACTTCACATAGGAAATTACACGTGTCAGTAAATTAATCTGCACGATCTAAATGCAGATGAAAACCCCTTTCTCCAAATCAGTTCACATACGGAAAATTATCTCTGTACTTTACAGTTATTTTCCCCAATATTCTTCTGTGACAGAATTAACCCGACAAGATTAAGGTTATCTATGAAAAAATAAAGTATTCCTGTGTAACTCATGGTAACAGGGGACACCATGTTCCATGATCAAAGAAAAAGATGAGACAGTTGGGTAGAGGGCAATGAGCTGTCCCCTACTATGAGGCTGGCTTAGCGGGGAAATGTCTATTATCACCTAACAGTTTTCAGTTTCATTGCTTTTGTTTTATGATCATTCTGTGAAAAACAAGCTCCAAAGACAAAGACTGAAAAAGAGCCGGTCTTGTTTTTCACTTATTTTCTCTGGTGTGATGAAACTGCCCAGTGCTATAAAGCACCTTTACAGAGAGACTTTTCAAAGGACCTTCTAAATTGCAGCTATATAGCCAACTTCACAAAACAAGTAGAAGTGGCATTTACTAGAACGCATTTATGCTCGAAAGAGGAAATCTTTTCTAAATCCAACCAATGAGTCACTGATGAGCTCCTGAATGTCAGCAATCTTTGGTTAGTTCAGAGTTTTTGAGTACAGCTCATGCACTCTGCTCCCTGCTGCCCAGCACAGGAGCCCCTTCCCTGCGTGGTGACAATGCTCCTGAGTACAGTGTTGCTATTGTATGCCTGTCCCTGGTGCAGTCACACTGTAGGAACTCCTGCTTTGAGTACAAGAGGTACCGAGCATCACTTTGGAGACAATAGTCACAAAACCACCTGATCAGCCACCTGATCTTTCCTAAAATGAACTGCAACATGCTGCTCCCTACATTGGGATGGAGTAATATTATCTTCTCTCCACTGAGCAGTGACACACTGACTACTCCTGCATTGTCTATACTACAAATGGGAGCAGTAAAGGGACGACTGCTGCCATGGAAACCTCACCTGATGGCCTTTCTTAGTTCCTGCTAGAATACAAGCCATCTCAAGGCCGCACAATAAAGGGCTGATCAACCATTTGCCTAAAGCTTCCACACAAAATTGCTGATTACTAATGTTGATGAATGCCTTCAATGTTGCAGTTCTAGTAGTCATTATTCCTGTCCAACCTCATTATTAGTTAAACACAGGGAAGCATGCATTAAGATTTACTTAGGAGTGCAAATCTAGATCCATTTGAAGACCTTGTTATTGAACACATATAAAAAATGGACCGTTTAGATAAAAATAAACTGAAGAGCAAAAGTTTAAGCAAAAACTGGACTAGCTACTTTTGAGAAGATAAAATTAACTTGAACCTCCCTGTGATTTGGTACTGTAGCAGCCCACGTAGACATAACCATGTGTTTCCAAAGATGAACATGTTACAGGTCATCGAGCTCATTCAGACATTTGTTAGTAAAAGGAGAAGGAATGGAAATATTCACACATTGTATTCAAATTAAAATGCCTGTTAAAAAAAGTGGTGATTTTCAGAAATTTCCAACCAGTTGGTGTAGAAATCAGAAAAAGCTATTTGAAAATGCACAATATTGCTTCTTTTTAACAAATCTGTCAAAAAAATCTGACTTTGTAGCTGATTTTCACTTACTATACAGTGAGATGTTGTATATCTCTCCTATCAAAGCAATCAGGAGAAAATTAAAACTATGCAGAGAAGATACATATACATTTCTTCTCTGGCTATAGCTCTTTTGTTAATGAAGAAAACTACTCTACCTGTCACTTTAAGTAATGCAGCTGTTACAAGAGCATGTGTAAAACCTTAGTCCTGGTAGAATCAAGTTCACCGTGTGGATATAAAGGCAGATAACCATGACACCCCATAGATTTTGCAATAGGACACATTGCAGAAAATGGTTGCCCCTTCATAATGGTTGCTCTCAGGCATCACAGTTCATCAGCATTTTGTGGTCTGGACTATGAGAGAGTCTCCAACCATTTCCTGCCCAATTTGAGTCCTTCATCATAGTCCGCAGCCATCAACAATCAGTACTATGTGTTCTGGAAACAAGGACTATCAGGTAAGGGGCTGTGTAACTTTTCTAGAGCAATTGATGAGAGGACACAGAATAATAATGCATGACATAAAAAGTCTGAAGAGCTGCCAATTCTCTTCCACGTAACAGAAGAATCCTCTCAACACAACTCAGAGACAAGAAATTCAAATATGATAATGGAAATATCTCTCTGAATGATACCTGGAATGCTCTGGAATAATACCTCTGGAATGCTCTAGCCTGTCTTTCAGTGAGACATCACTGAAATAAAGACATTCAAACCAGTTTTGAAGTATACAAGTCTGGAAGTCTACTTAGTTCACTCCTTTTCTCTAGGCCACATCATGCAACTCTAGCAAGTCTCAGAAGTCTGGAAACTGTACAAGCAATAAGAACACGTACAGTTATGCCTAGAGTTCAAAGTGTATGAAGTATATAAACCACCAAGACTAAAGGATCCAAGCATCTACTTTTTGACATAAGTTCTGGAAGAAAACTTCCCTTGCAGGCTGGTTGTTTCATAATGGCCTGCTAAAATCTCCTGAAGTATCTGACATTAGCTATAGCTGGAGCATGGATACATGACTACTGTGATTTACTATGGCAGTTCCTTTCTGGTTACTTCTTGCAGCAGCAAATCCTTTTCCAGATTTTCAGTGCTCTTCATATTTCCAGTGACTGGCACAAAGGAAGGCTGAATCTTTGGACCCAGACAAATCCTAGACCAGTTCTCATTGTGGCTACTCTTTAGCAAACAACAGAATATGGGCATTTTCTACACCTTTATTCCATGATCTTTTCTAGCATAATTCTTTTCTTTCTCCACAAAAAGTGAGAACTTTACCCGGAGCTATTAAACTGTGGAATGCCTTCCAAAGGAGTTGATGGACTTACAGCAGCTGAGTCACTCAAAACTTGAACAAACAAATAATTTGTGGTTACAGAATATGACCAATCCTGCGCTTTCAAGGACCGGAGCACAATGACCCACACCAAATTTGTTCTGCTTTTGGTTTCTAATACTGATTGATGTGAGGCACATTTTCATAAACCCCCACAAAAACACAGGGTAGCTTGTTCTGCATTTAATTAGAATTCTTAAGATCTCAGCCACATTAAGATTCTGGGCTTCTTATAACAATGGCCAGCCAGGTCTAAATCACCTACGCCAGGAATGTACATAGCTTAGAAATTTTAAAGACTAAAAAATAAGTTCAATATACAGTCATCATTTAGGAAATAACAACAATCATCCACTCTTCTTCCATTTTCTTAACGCCAAATTCTTCACCATTGATCTGAGTGGTGCTGAACAATACATGGTCATACAACTGTGCTACTGCTTTGGAGTGGCTTATGCAGTCAGAAGAAGACAAGCCCTGGAAAACTGCAGTTCAAATAATGTCACATGAGAAATATACTTGGCATGACATGGTGCTGGCATCCTCTGGGAAGAACAAAGCTTAGCAGAAATTTGTGTTTATGTACAGGTAGCTAGAATGACAGAAACTTAGCAGATTCACTGCAAAGTGTTGTCATCTCTGGAAGTCATCTATTTTGATAAATAATTTTTCATTTTAAATATAGTAATGGTTGCTATGACTTCTTGAGGTATATTTTAAGGAGCTGCACAAATGAGAACATATTACCCATGCATGTCATCTGTGATTGTACTGTTGCTTTGACTGAAACATTTGAGGATGTGGAGGTGAAGCGGAGCCAGAAAGTAACAGTCCATAACAGCTATATCAGACCTAACAGGTCCATACAGCCTTTTCTCATGGAAGAAAGCATTTCTGTACTCCCACCCTCCTTCTGGGTCAGCTACAGAGGACACTTATCTTCTCCTGGCCTATTTCTGTTGCTTCTGTTTCTTCCTACTCTTTCCTGTTCTGGGCAGCTCTGGCTCCAACTCTTTTCTCCTCCTCTGCATTGTCTCATCTATCACCCACCTCTACATCAGCCTTCCACTCTCATTTCAAAGTCTGTCTCTCTCTCCCTCTCCCAGCATTCCCCACTTACTTGCATGATCTCAACTTTGAAGCCGCTGACCTGTGAGCTGCACATTTCCTTACTCATTTCTTGTTTAACCCATAATTCTAGTTCATCGCTTTTACTTGGCCCCAGGACTTTTTATTGTTTTTTTCTCTAATCAGTGATTCTCTAATCTCTATTGAACTTCTGTTCTCAGTGCTCACTTCCAAAAGCATGCATGACCCTCTCTCTACATGCAGACCTTAGCAGAGCCATGTTGTGTCTCTCCTGCACCATCAGCACCAGCAACCTCAAAAACCCTCTGGTTTCTCAATCATGCTCTTCTTTTATCGATATGACTGTCAATTCTCACCAGTTTCACTCTCTAACTCTCCACCCCTCTCTTCTGAATGTCAAGGTTTGTCCTAACAGTCTGCACCAACAGCTGCTCTTTTTGATCTTCCTCTCCCTTCTATGGAGAATTGCTAGTGGAAATCCTGCAGCAAGGCTAACAGAATCAATCTCAAATTCACTCCAAATCCTCAGCATACATTCCTTTCTTAAATTTGTTCAAGAAGAACTCAGCAAATTACCTCATCTAAATCTTCTCCCTCAGCAAATCTACAGAACCCTCTTGAAGTCACTTCAAGAGAAACTTTATATTCAGATGAAAGTTTAAAATATCTTTAAATAGATTTATCAAAGAATGAAAGAATTAATCAAGTCCAAGCTTGGCACATGTGGAGGCAGATCCTAGTGGATTTGAGTTAGCAACAAGAGAGCAGAACAAGTCTTTTGCTCCCAAACATATAGCTCAGCACAACTAGAGTGGCAGAGTCAGGATCTTAGGGTCTGTTCTTTTGACATCCTAAAGTGCTCAAAAGCAGAGGGAAAAACATCTTAAATAAACGTATTTGTCTCAGTTTATTTTAGGGACATATTAGGCTCTGATATTAGTTACCATGAGGTCATTCTTGTTACAAGGAGCAATACATTTCTGGCTCTTTTCTGTTCCTTGACAACCACTCCATACATCCATTGGCAGTATTTTCTGGTAGTATTGGCAAGCGCTTCGGTTTTCTTAGCACTGTCTAGATTTAACAATTCAATACAAGCTGTGACTTTTTCAAGCCATGCTAAATAAAGCCAATAGGCCTTTCCTATCTTGTCCCATGGCCTTGATCCTGAAAGTCCATGTATGGTCTGCAACAGGCAATGCATGTCTGCGAATGCATGGCCTGAGCACAGCTCCCTAAGAGCATGGGAGAGCTCCCTCTCACAGAGAGTGCATGAGCTAAGTGTGCCTACTCAAATACTCTCTGACTGCAAAAAATTAGAAAGAAAAACAGGAAAATGTTTTACTCTTCAAGAAAGGATGTTTCTCGGATAACAAGTCTCTGAATCATGCTCAGGAGATGCTAAGTTATTTAGCTATGTTCTTCCAGTTTCGGTGTTACTATTCAGAATTGTTTGCCTGTTTTCTCGTTTACCAAATATATATATAAAAGCTTGCTATTCCACTGCCTTTTTCATATGAGAAAGGTTCAGTCACATATGAAATAACAAGCTCTGTTCTACTTGGAGTTGAAAAAAATGCATTCACAGAATCAATCCAAAACAATATCCTGCTGTATGTTCCTTTACAGGACAAAATGCAACACGATACATAAAACGCAGCACGGTAAGAAGGTTTCAGCTGAGGTGGGAAGAGAGTTCAAAACTCAAGAGCAAAACATAGAGGATATCTGATTAGCAACTGTCTTTTGCTGAGAGCTGCAGTGAAAACACTTCTGCTGAGGGAAAAAATGACATAGGGAAAAAGACAAATTCTCAAGTGGCAGATCCCTAACTTCTAGTTAAAACAACATAAACCGAGAATTAAGCCCCAGCAGAGGACCCATGGACAACCATAGGTACAAAGGAAGTTCTACCAGGCTGTATGTAACTATGTCATTTGCAGGTGTAGTCTTATTGTAATACCCTTGTGCTAACCTTGAGGGTTCTGCCAACACGGGAAGTAAATCTGAATTAAGCAATTCCAAGCCCTCTGAGTGATTAAGGTCTCTACTTCAATCTGGTCACTTGGCAGCAGAAAGACAGTGAACCACAGCTGTGAAAGGTAGGCACACCCTGAGTGAGAAGGATAAAAACCCCCTTACTCTTCATACTTTCTGGTAGATTTTTCCGACCTGTGAATGTGATATAACATATTCATATAATCAAGCCAAGGTTTGGTTTGCAGATAGAAGATAGAGTCTTCTGCACCTGCAGGCTGAATTCACACAGAACTTGCAAATGATGGCACAGTGTAGCTTGTGTCTGCCTCCACTCTCCCCCAAATACCTCCTTTCTTAACAGTCGAAGGAGAAATGGGATGTAAGTGAAGAATTTAGCAGGATAACCTTTAGGCTGAATAAGCAATTGTCTCAGGCCATTTATAGAGAAATCACAACTTGGAAAAAGATGAATTACTTGAAAGTAGCCCTACCTATTTTTAAAATAATACTTGTGTAAGCAAAACCAATAAATAGCAAAAGCAAAGGATCATAGACTGTGACTGGGTATCTGCATAGTAGTTTATTTCTGAACGCAGAATCATCTTCTGCTTTACTAGTCCTACAATTTCCTTTTACCTTGTACTTGTAGCTGCAGGATGCAGATGCACTGTAGTAGGCAGAATCAAGCTATATGAGTACCACACTGATACTGTAACATATTCTGAAAAGATTTTAAGACACCTCTGGGTTTATTTCACTTGTAGAATGGATTGTTTCAATTTTATATTCTTATTAAATACTATTTCATGTGTCTATTTAGATGATTTTGAGAAAACAGGAGTTGCCATAGGAGGTCAGATCACAGGTACAGTAACTCTGCCAACCTGTCTCCAGCACCATCAGAGGAAGGTCGAGAAATATCACAGCTAAACATTACTATATATGGGTTAAAAACATAATAACTTTTTCCTGCAGGAATAATAATGTGTCTTTTTGCATGAGGCTGCCCTTATCTTCCAATTACAAATATTATTCTTTTTTAAGAAGGGTATGTACGTTTGTAAAAGCAAATGGTAGAATGTGACTGTTGTCCTGAGACACAACATCCCACTTCAGCTGGATTATTAGCATTTTATGATCACTCAGTGTGCATGGATGTCTATGAATAATGATCTCTCTCTCTCTCTGGACTGAAGGGACAAAGTGCATAGTTGAAGCAATATGATAGTACTGCCCTGAGCCCATGTTCCTCTCACATTAATTTTATCTCACTTGATTGGTGGAAATTTTGGAAAATATCTTCTTAGCTGAGAGGGCTGTTATGAGGTGAGAAGAAAGAACATGAGAAGTAAACGGGGGTCATGAATATTTGCAGAAAGGATAAAGGATGGATCATATCAAAGGAGCAATGTAAATAAAACAAAGGTTTAGTGAAAAATAAAACGCTAGGATCACCAAAGTATATTAACTCTGTCATGCAAGACAGATGCTTGATTAGAAAGCGCCAAAAGACTTAATTTAATGTTGTATAAGAAAGATAATTTCTGTTTTAGTTTAATTTTTCACAAATATTTTCTTTTCTTAAAACAAATTTTAGAGTGTTTGGATTACTGACTTATTCTGTAATCAATTTTACAGAAAGAATTTATGAACTAGTAAAGAAAAAAGAGTGTTCTATCTTTTCTGTTGATGCTTAAATACTGATGCAGGAAATCATTTGCCTATTCTCAATTTTATGTGATAGAACAAAAACCCTAAGCAATAAAACTAAGGTCCAAGAAAAACATTTAGCCTGAAAAAAGGTTGAAAAATGTACCCTTGGAAAGACCACTGCTTACATGGGATTGTTCAACAAATTCCTGTTGTGTGAGGTTTGGCATATACTTTCTAAAAATATAAGCATCTGGGGAAACCAGACAAAGCCCAGGTCTTGGACCAAACGAGGCATGCAGCGTGAATCTGTTAGTGATTATATCCATAATGAAATATGTGCCCAAATTTAGCAGTACAAAACCCCCAATACAATGTGAAAACACAGCATGTACAGCCCTTACCATAAAATATAGCCAACAGCGAAGGTGCACACTGCAGCCAGTCCACAGCTCCTGCTGGGATACTGATGATGTGTTGTTCTCATCTCGATTAATACAAAGGGCAAAACTGTTGTGTGCTGGAAAAAAACCAAAACATTGGGGGAAAACAGGTGATACAAATGGTTCTCACTGTATTTCCATTTCAATTCTATAATAAGAAACTTAATCACAGAAGTCTGAAGACAATTCTTTATGGTTAGAAGGACAAGGTAAAATGACTCTTATAAAGCTGATCAATAACCCAAACAATATCATCTCTAAAATATCCAATTGTTCGAGAGAGTAGAGGAAAAATGAGTAAGCAGAATGTGCTTTTCCTTTTGTCCGGGAATCCAAGAACAGATAGTGAGTGAAAAAGGGATGTGGCACAAGGGGACATGGGTCCCAATCCCACTCTGGTCTTACAGTTATCTGTGATCTTTGCCATGTCACTTCAGTTATTTTGACCACTGAAGTTAGGAGACAATGCATCTGATTTCCAGATACTAAATACAAACAATGCCAAATGAATGAATATAAATGGAAGTGTTTAATGCTTCTGAGAATTAGGTTTAAGTGCATCTCAATCTGGGGACTTGAAAACAGGTGATGTATTTTCAAGTGATAGCCTCAGGACCTCTGTTCCTCCATCTGCAAGACAGGGACCAATTATCTTCAGAAAGGTGTTGTGAATTTTAATTTGGTACTTGTTGTGCAAAATAATTTAGATTCCCAAATGAAACATATGAAAGCCAAAACCATAAAAACCATTTTCAGCCGCTTGTCTTTATTTAGCTGTGAAACTACTTATTTTGTCATTTTCCCATACACATTTCCTACACTGCCCCTTCTGAGAAGGCCTGTTCATCCAATTAATGTCAGCAGCATGAAAAACTGCATCCAGCCTGCCCCCAACACTCCATGTCTACATTTCAGAGTGCTGGCAGGCATGAAAATATACATAAGTGAAGAACAAATGTGCCAAGAAATAAGCCCCATCATTCCTGAATATACAGCTCACGTAGGACCAGCATTGTTGGTGATTCCAGAAACATAGCCTGCCTTGCCACCATGGGGCCAAGTTATTGCTGGTGTCTCAAGGGAATTACTTCTGCTGAGAGCTTGGCTCTGGGGCTTGGTATGACTGTGACTGTGAACTGTCCTGCTCAGGCCACAGAAAGGTCTGCAGGTATAAGGATTGCAAGGGTAGACTAGGTCCTAAACCAGGTTCAATCCTTCCCTCAGTACTTGATCATCAACTGAAAAAGAAAGTTATGGCATACACTGGCCACATTCTGCCATCAGATGCACACATGAAGTTCTGTGGGAAGCTGGAGGGGCAGATTGGTAAATCTGTAATAACTACAATGTAAACCCACACTAACTTTCACCAATGTGAAGACAGGACAGGCACGGAGTAGAAATACCCTTGCATGGATAACAGGTTCAAATGAGAGGAAACAGAATGGAGTCTGAGCCTTTAACAACTGCAGAGAACAATTGTTTGAATGGGAAATTATAAGATAATGGAAATGCTCTCGCTGAGAGATACAAAATAATTTGAATTGGATAACTGCTCTGATTTTTGAGGCATTAGTAATTAATGAGTAGCATTTGGAGAATGTCAGGTGGATAATACAGCAGTTAGGGGAGCTTTCAATTTCATCTTTTAACAACTTGTTCCACCCCCATCCCTATAAACAGCATGAATCAGCATCAAGGGAATGCAAAGATGTTTTATATGTGGTCTGCTATAAAGGTGGCCACTATTACATGAGAGGTCTATAAACTGGGGAGGACCTTCAGAGTCTGTTAACAGGGACTAACAGCAAAGCAAGCTTGGGAGATGCACCTGTCTTGCATCTGTATGGAAAAGGTCCCCAGGCAGAGATCAGTACCTCACTCTGCAGAGCCCCAAAGCAGGGCAGATGGAGGCCGTGCAGATGCCCTGCATCCATAACTTCTTCAAGGAAAAAGCCAAAGGACAACAAAGACTATTATCTCCAAATCTCACCCTTGATAATCCTTGTGTGATCCAGTCACTTAGTTTTAATTCTTCACTATACGGATGATGGTTACAGACCTCGTGAACTCCATTTCTCAACAGAAATGTTTACCACTTTAGATACTGCTTGCTGATGAGTTCTTCATTGATGATAACAACTCAACAGCTTGCCAATTAAAAAGTAGTTAAAATAATTTTAGCAATCAACCCTCGATCTAGAATAGTCTTCTCCTTTCTCTCTTCCCAGTTTCTGTGGTTGTATAATAAAATAGGTTATTATTTTCCTAAATTCTGACTTCTGTTCTTTTCTAGAGGTAAGGGATGGAGGAAAAGAGGATAATGAACTGTATCAGTAGAGACTTTGTACACAAAATCCTGTTAAAAGTACAGTGCAATTAAAAGAGTAAGGAGAAAATCACAGATGTGTCTTTAATCTCAGTTTGTTAGAGCGAATGTCGATGCTATGTGCAAACACTGCAGCTTTACAAATACAGAGTATGAACCTTGGTTTAAAATGTTCTAGGGAAAGTGTCACTCTAAAAAGCAGTTTCAGATCCTTTACCAAATTACAAACAAGATAAAATTTCCCTTTTCTACATTTCAGTCCCTCTGAAAACCCTGATTTAAAAACCATGAAAATTTGTAGGCGGGGATACCTTCTGTCCAACAGTGCCAATTAAAACTCTAGACTGATGCACAGTGAAGAGGAGCAGGGGTGAAATGTGCTTGCAGTGGAATCCATCAGAGGTGGGAAAGCTGCGAGAGGCCTAAAATTTCAAATCCTCCAATACTAATAGCATTACTAATCAATGCTCTATTGATAAGACACCTTTATTATGGGCTAAGTATTTACAAGCAAAGTTGCATTTTTACCTGGATATCTTACTCTGCTCCCACTGAGATCAGCTGCTCCCATGAGACACTTTTGCCTGTATGACTGTGCTGACACTAACTCAGTTGGCTACAGCCTGGTGCTAATAACACCGAGGTTGTGGGCTTGACCTCTGTATGGTCTGTTCATTTAAGAGCTCGACTTGATGATCCTTGTGGGTCTCTTCCAACTCGACAGTATTCTGTGAAATCTGCATGCTGAGCAATGCTGTGGCCACATCAGGGAGCACCATCTCCACTCCTGGCAAAGCAACACTTGCTGCACATGTTCCCTGTGGTGACCACAGGCTCGGGACAGGCCCCAGCCCTGCCCAGGCAGCAGCAAAATGAGCTAATGAACCCTGTGGCTGGCTGCCTGCCAATGTGCCCTCCCAGCCACAAATTCTTTTTTTCCTCTGGAGTGCCAAGTGATCCTCAGACCCGTTTTTAACCCCTCTGTGAAGGATCCATCTGCCAAGACCACCTTGTGAGTTGAAGTGTGGCCATAATGTGACCCATTACGTGACCACAGCATTGCTCTGCTCAGACCCTGTCACTGCCTACCCCTGCTGACAGAAAGGCAGCTTCGACAGATCGTTTTTCTAGGAAGTGCTGGTCATGGCAGAACAGAAAGCTGCAATTTCCTTTCCATTCTGTGACCACCATATAGCACTGCTTCCCAAGGATCCATCACCTACAAATGGTGAAGAAATCCATTCTTGCCAAATCTTCAACTTCTGGTAACAATGCATGAAAACAGAGAGAAACCAGCACAATGCACAGAGCCTGGGTGAAATGTGCAGGAAGGGTACTGTATGGAGAATCTGACCCACAAGACACTCCGGAGACTGACTCCAAAGAAGCAACCTCTGAGTGAAGCTGAATTACCACACACTGTAAAAAAAAACCCCACCACCCTGAGATCCGCAGGTGAATTAATTCCTAGAGCCATTGTCACTGCTTCCGGAGAGAAACTCTGCTCCTTAATAACTCTTTAAAAGATATTACTAAAATATGTTCCATCTTCTACACGGTATATATGCGTCTAATGACATTTGAGACCAGAAAATCACATTATACATAATGCAAGACATCTGTACTGGTGGCTTGGTAAGTTGAGCTTTGATGGAGGACTGTGCTTTCCCATTTTAGGTGTGTTCTGCAACAGTTAGTTGGAAAAAAAGATTTTATGCAGATTAGGTACATTAACAATGAGTTCTATAATAGTCTTAAGGCAATTAAGTGCTCATTCTTGAAAGCCTGATTATATATTTTATCTTCCAAACAGTAAGTGCTGCTTTTTTTAACACTGGTTTCAACAGTACCTTGCTTGGCCTTTTCTCCCTCTCTTAACTGTGTTTTAAATGGAAAGTTAAAGGTTTTCAAAATGTGCTAAACTGACAGCTTTATGTATTGGCATCTTCTGTCCTTAGCACAAACAGGTAGTGCTGTCTTCCCAAGTCACCCTCCTGATCTGCAATGACTGTCCAGAACTACACTTACGACAAGGAGTTCAGTCCATAAAGGCATCTTAGATGCCCAGTCATGCAGAAGTTCTGCAGGGATGGTTAAACTGTTCGGGGATCACATAACTTGTGATTATAATTTATTTCAACCAACAGCAGACTGTGACTCATTACTCAATTTGATCAGGTTAAAAAACTACAGGGTATAGGACATTTTAGTTCAATCGAAATACTGCGGACCTCTGAGGCCTTCAGCATGACATTCAGTCCATGTTCTTAAGAGCCAGCAAAAGCCCAGTGATAAAAAAGGAGGCCTTGCAGTTTTGATGTCCACCAACATTTTAACTGACAGACTGAGAGCCTCCTGGGAGAGCTGGTGCACCCTGCAACAAAGAGATTGCAGATTGGTCTTCATCCACAGAACTTGTGCAACCCAGGACCTGAAGGGCTACATCTGCCACCCAACACTGCATCCACGTCAAAGCCTCTGCCCTGGCAAGGGCAGTTGCTTCAACATCTGCTGGGAAACTCCCCTGCAGCACACTGCCACCGTGCCTGAGACTTACACTGGTACGAATTTGATAGAGGTCTCTTTCTTTGCACTCTGCTGTGCAAACCGCTATGTCTGCTGGCTACCTCTGCTTTCTGCCTTTTTAAATTCCTCTATAAAACTGAGTTTTCATCAGTAGGATGTTACCCTTACCTTTTTCTTCTGAACTCATAACAAGATTATGTCTTGTTAAACAGCTGTTCCATG